GACCCTGCCTTTTGATCACTTGTAATTTTGTTCATAGACTAGATACAGTAGTCCAAATAGTATCATTTTGAAGTACTCGTCGAGTTCTATCATATCTAATTTGGTTGATTTGAAAATAGTGATCCCAAAAGAAACTATGGCAAGGCGCGGTCGCAAGTATGATTTTCAGTCAATTTTTTTTAATTTTTAATATTTTCAAATTTTCAAATTTCGTCACATTTTTCAAAATTTATGATCTATAATTATTAGACACTAAAAATGTCACTGTCTAGTGCCTAAGAAAATCTAGCATTTATTGGAAGTAGACTAGAGTTTTTTCATTTTTTTTTTTGAAATCTGAGCAATCCTCAAAAAAAATTTTTTTTCTAATTTTTTTCACCTGGTAACCAAGAAAAAAAAATAATTTTGTTGTCTGAAAATTTATTTTTCCAGGTTATTTTTTGTTTTATTTTTTTCATTTATTCCGGCTTTTCGAAAAATTTGAACTTTCAAAAAATTTAAAAATACCGTAAACACTCTTTTGAAAGCCACCCGGACCGTTTATTTTGAGCCTATGTATCTCACTTCTTTTGAAAGATACCAAAACGTTGTCAACTGATAAAATGTTTATCATAATATCAGCTACATGTTATCAGTTGACATCTTTTTGATATCTTCTACATGAACCGAGATATAGGGGTTCAAATTGGACGATGCGGTAATTCCAGAAAAAAATCATGTCATTTTTCAATCTGAAATTTTTGGTTTCCTTTTTCTACTGTTCAATTTCTTTTCTCATTTATACATTGCTCATTATTATGTTGTTCAAAAATTGGAAAGAATTCAAGTCTGCATTTTTTCACGTAGTTATTGCTGATTACTTTTTTGTGAGTTTCCAGAAAAAAAATAAATTCCAAAAAAAATTTTTTTTTCAATTTATTTTTGAAAAAGTTAAAAAGTTAAATTTGGGACTCAAAATTGACTTCTAGGGTTAATTAAACCTGAAAAATCGATTTGAACTACTGAAATTAACCATGGACAGCTTCCAGGACATGAAAACTTGATTTATACTTCGAAATGAAAAATTCCAAAAATCTGAAAAGTTTCAATTTAATTTTGATTTTTCAAAAATTTCAGATTGATCCCAAAAATCAAGTTCTAGCAGTAATTTAATCTGAGAAATTGATTAAAACAATCTAAATTAGCCTGAAACTATCCCTAAGAATTGAAAAATTGCATTATACTTCGGAAGGAAAAAATCCAAAAATCCGAAAATTTAAATTTTCCAAAATTTTTTTTAATTTATGTCGAATTGATTCAAAAATTTCATTCTGAACGTAATTTAACTCAAAAAATCGATTAAAACTATCAAAAATCCCCTCAGAAGCTTCTGAATCCTTCAAAACCCTGAAAAACTGTTCCAGAACCTTCTAACCTGGCTAAACTCAATGATAACCCTCCGTTTACCGAATGGAACTTGTAAAGATTGCCTTCTATCCAATTTATTTGCTTCTTTGGGACAAAATAATCAATATACCGGTGGATTTCTGTATATTTGCTATTTTCTACACTTTGGAAATGCCTATTTTCAATACGGTATGGTCACAATGATGTCATTGAATCGAACAACATCGATTTTTGCCTATTTTTTGTATGAGAAGGTATAGAATAATGCATAAATTTGAATTTAGCGCTTTTTTCTGATCATTTTAAGCTATGAATCTTGAAAATCCGTTGAAAACTAATAAAATTACATAAAATTGAAAATTTCAAAATTTCAAAAAAATGTTGAAAAATTAAAATTCCTATAACTTGTGTAATTTTCAATCGATTTTCATGAATTTTGGCTTAAAATATTTCTGAAATTCCTTTTTTTTTTCATAAAACAAACAAAAAATTTGAAAAACTTCAAAGAATCTTCCAGATTTGGCAATTTCTCTTCCCATTCTCTCTGGGTACTGTAGTCCTCTGCGCGGTGTACTTCACACGGACAATTCTAGTGACTAGTCCGTATTATGTGTATAATGAAGCATTGGATATGTACAGTATCAAAGCGGACTCGGTGAGAAAATATAATTTTTGACAAATTTGAAAAATTCGTGAAAATAATTTTGGAAAAAAATTTCAAAAAAAGTTTTTTTTTTGGATTTTTACATAATTCTAATTTTAGCGAGATCTTATGAAAACAGGATTTCTGATCATCAAATCAGTTCGAAAACCATCTTTCTGAGCCAATTCTAACCCAAGTTACAGTCGATTTCGTATATGAGAGA